GGCTTTCTTGTAGTCAGCGCTGGTCAGTTTCAGCAGCGGCTGACTTGGGGACGCCTGGGGCAGAGCAGCTGGGGTGCTGCTGGGTTGGTCCAGTAGCGCCCAGAGCGGCACTACAGGACCAACCGGCAGCGCCCCAGCTGCTGTACCACAGGCGTCCGGAGAAAAGCCGTGGAGCACGGGGGCAGCGCGACAGCCCAGACGCGCTGCGGCTGTCCTGCTGCCCGCGTGCTCCACGGCTTTGCTCCCCATCTCCCTGGTCTGCTTGTCTTCAGCAGACAAGGGAGACGGGCAGCAAACCCCGATCGGGGACTGCCTGTACTGTGATCCTTCATACAATGTCAGGAAAGTTGTATTTTTCTTTGGCTCATAACTACTCGGCAACAACTGTATATAGAAACTGTTGCTTCTATCAAGGGTCCAGAAATACGCTACAAGAGCTGCTCAGGGTGTTTATAACACTGCTTAAAGGAAACAGTTTCTATGCACATAGTTAGAGAAACACAGTAGAACACTGCTAGCTTCTACAGTATTCAGTACAGTTGTTTCTAGCAATTTCAAATGTATTGAGGCCAAAAAGTTAGAAGGGTGGTCTGCCTTTATCTTGAGAACAAAAGGTAACATAAACATATGCAATCTAATTAAGGCACTAAAGTTGAATGATTAGGAATATGAAATAAACATTTACAATAGCAAAATATGTCTCTCCCATTTTCGTAACTCCAGTGTTCATCTACACAGAATGGAATAAGATTTTTGTTTGCTTCAGATTATATTTTTAGTATTTAATAGGAGTTTTTAAAAATCATTTCCATATTATATGAGCAACCCGAACAGGAACTACTCTATAAAGCAGATCTGTTCATGTTTCTATCGCCTTTGTAACTGACAACATACATAAAATGCTTGTCATACTAAAAATCTCATTTTTATGAAAAATCTTGGTACGATATATTGGGAATTCTAGGGGGAAATCCTATTTTTAAAATGTCTAGCAGATTAGAATCTATATTTAGACAATCAGTCTATTCAGAACTGAAGCCACTTTAAAATCTGTCAAGATGATACCTTACGTTTAAGTATGTTTAGTGAAGTCAGTGTCAAAACTATAAACAGACAAATAACATTAGCAGCATTTCATTCAGCAGAACAAGATACTGTAGCTAATATTTTAATACCTACATAATCAGAGTATAAAGTGAACAATTAATAAAGTCTTAGTTTACACTGTACGTTCTGTTATTATTGGGCACAAATTCTTTTGAAATATCACAGATCCATTACAGTTCTTCAATTCAGTGAACAAAATTAATTTTAAATTAGTTAACTTTAAAAACACAACTTACACTATGAGCTCCTTGTATTGTGCGGACTAAGTTTAGCCCTTTCCAAACATAGATGTCTCCATTTAAAGCACCAGAGTACGTGACATCTTCTTTTGCACATGCTAAGCAAAGGATAGTTTGGAGATCTCCTGTTTTCCCAAATATTCCTCTTTTTGCTGTCAGCGCATTGCCACACAACGTCCAAAACTATGAAATGTAAATGATACATGAAGAGAAGTCTCTGCAGCAATTTTGGTTGCGACATCAGTTTGCAATTTTTACGCTTATCTCTGTATTCAATAACTGAGCAAGACATTTATATGGCTCCAATCTTTTAACTGACTGCTTTATCATGCTTCTAATAACTTATAAAGAATGGAAAATTACCATAGTAGATCTGGTGATCATATACACAATTTGGTAGTTTACATTTTTGAAAAAAATGTTGAAACTAAAAAATAAGTCATGGTGTTTTATTATTATTACCCTCATTCTTCTAATAACCTCATCCTCACTTCGATTGTCATCTTTTCATGCATACTATGTAATAGAATGGAATCTTCTTAAACAAGAGACTCGTTTTATTTATTTGCAGAGCTCCATACATAATTATCGACTGTAGAAATAAAAAAGTAAATAAAACCAAACACCAAGTCCTGGGGAGTTCTCTTAGTACTTATTCATGTAAAAACCCCATCAAGTTTGCCTGAAAGAGGATCAAGTAAGACTCTCAGGCTATGTCTACACTGCAGAGTTTTTGCTCAAAAACAGCCATTTTTGTGCAAAAACTTGCAGAGCGTCCACACTACAAGCTCGTTCTTGCACAAGAAAAACCACAGTAAAGTGTAAGAACACAAGGCTTTTTGCACAAGAGTTATTCCTCTCCCCACAAGGAATAAGCCTTTTTGCACAAGAGCTCTTGTGCAAAAAGGCATGTGTGGACGGGCAACAGGCTAAAATGGCCATCCGAGCTTTCTTGCACAAGAGAGCATCCACACTGCCATGGACGCTCTTGCACATAGCAGTGTGGATGCACTCTTGCGCAAGAACTTTTTCCGCAAGAACTATTGCGCAAAAAGTTCTTGCGCAAGAAGCCTGAAGTGTAGACGAAGCCTCAGAATATGGCCCAACAGTAATGTGTGCAGATAAGAAGTCATAAGAGAGAAAATGATGAGCCTTTTATAGCCATTAGATTGTAATCTGAGACAAATTAACAACGTGTTTTGGACATTTATAACAAAATTAAAATCATGGTGTGAACTTTCTTAGTGTTGAAAGTGTTTGAATTAAGGATTTTAGTTTGGGGCCCATCTCTAATTTCCATATCTTTTTATCATAGGCCTAATAACAGGTGTGGAAGAAGAATATGTTTTACACAGCATTCAAAGTCAGGGTGTAATCTGAGACAAATTAACAACGTGTTTTGGACATTTATAACAAAATTAAAATCATGGTGTGAACTTTCTTAGTGTTGAAAGTGTTTGAATTAAGGATTTTAGTTTGGGGCCCATCTCTAATTTCCATATCTTTTTATCATAGGCCTAATAACAGGTGTGGAAGAAGAATATGTTTTACACAGCATTCAAAGTCAGGGAACGCTATATCCCTCCCTGCCGTCTCCCCCCCCCCTTTTTAATTGGCTGTAGAGGGAGAAAGGGAAAGCAGCAAATGATACCTATTTTAGGACTCACTAGAATTCATAACTGTAGCCCCACTAACAACAGTTTAGCTAAAAAATTCAGTAGGCGATGACATATCCCATGCAGCCTCCATCCCGTATTGATCCAGACACAACAACAAAATGCATACTGGAATGAAGCAGCAGGCTGAAATTTGTATTAAACTTTAACACAAAGGAGGCATGTTACCTGTCTATCACTCGTACTCTTAGTCAATGAGACTTATCTGAAATTGCACATAGGCTTTGAGAAACATGGATTTTTGCAGTTCTGGCTTTGAGACTCAGCCTAGCCACTCATCAAAGAGCTCAGTTGCAGTACACTTTAGAAATATTTTGGGTTGCTTGAATAGAGAAAAGCTCAGAGTACAATACTAATCTTGATTCTATAGTGCAGAGGAATTACCCAATAGTATATTGCTGGAAAAACTATTTATTGAATCTACCTCAAGCAGTGATCCCACACTTCTAACCTTAAGATGCAGAAACAGTATGAACTACCGTTTGTACATCTTTTAATGAGAATCCAGCATCCAGATTTTGAGAAACTGCTTGCAGAACACAGAAAATGGCATAACTAATGCCAAAACAACCCCATGGCTTTGAAAGGAGTGCCAATTTAGGGGTTCAAACTTTTCAGCAATGAAGGTATGTCTAGACTACATGCCTCTGCCAACAGAGTCATGTAGATTAGGCTACCCGACATAGTCAATGAAGCGGGGATTTAAATAATCCCCGCTTCATTAAAATAAACATGGCCACTGGGCTGTGCCGATAATCAGCTGATCTGGTACAGAGTGGCAGTCTAGACGCGGATCTGTCATCTGAGGAAGCCTTTGCCGAACGATCCCTGATGCCTTGTGAAAAGAGGTTTACAGGATCAGTCAGCAAAGGCTTCCTCAGACGACAGATCCGCGTCTAGACTGCCACTCTGTACCAGATCAGCTGATTATCGGCACAGCCCAGTGGCCATGTTTATTTTAATGAAGCGGGGATTATTTAAATCCCCGCTTCATTGACTATATTGGGTAGCCTAATGTACATGTTTAGACTACATGCCTCTGCCGACAGAGGCATGTAGACTAGACATACACTGAGAGATTAGCACGTTTCCTGAAACTTCTGTTCAAAGTTTTCCCACCCCTAATCATAGGAAAATACTAGACAATAAAATAAGGTAGCAGTAAAGAAATTTATAAATATGTATTTAGTTCTATGAGCTTGCCTCTTGTGCAAAAGTGTATGGACAAAACAAATACTGAGGAGAACTCAGTTTCTTTCCTCATTTTCATGAGGTCAAAGGTACAGAAAAGGTAGGAGGCTGGGCCCCAAAATGAAGTGGAAAACCAAGGAGCTTTAAAGAAATATGGCTCCCCAACCTGCAGAGGATGCCCAGTAGCACGGAATGACTTCCCTCATGCCTTCTCTGTAATCTCTGTGCAGACTGTGCCTGAACAGTTAAGGTCCCTGTTTCATTCATATGACTAGTCATACTGGGTCAGACTAATTGTCTGTCTAAACCTAGAACCCTGCCTTTTGACTGTGGCCAATGTCAGGTGCTTCAGAATGGGTAATCATAAAGTATTCATGGTTTTGCAATTTTCAGTGCAATTTTCTTAGCTTCAATGAGTGAAGCAAGGCTCCATCAATCCTTCCATAGCTTTTCAATGAGACTTAACCAGGGAGAGATAACTAAAGAAGGGTATGTCTACACTAGCCCCCTAGTCTGAACTAGGGAGGCTAATGTAGGCATTCGAACTTGCAAATGAAGTTTGCATGTTCCCAGGCGCCGCCATTTTTAAATGCCCCGTAGTTCGAACTACCTGCCCATGGCTACACGCGGCACGGACTAGGTAGTTCGAATTAAAGCTCCTAATTCAAACTACCGTTATTCCTCCTGCAAGTAGGTTTAACGGTAGTTCGAATTAGGAGCTTTAATTCGAACTACCTAGTCCGTGCCGCGTGTAGCCATGGGCAGGTAGTTCGAACTACGGGGCATTTAAAAATGGCGGCGCCTGGGAACATGCAAACTTCATTTGCAAGTTCGAATGCCTACATTAGCCTCCCTAGTTCAGACTAGGGGGCTAGTGTAGACATACCCTTAGTGAGCAGTTTGATTGAACAGAAAGGACAGAAGCCAGAACTGGAAGTGAGTACAGCTGAACCTCTTTGGTCAGGCACTCTCTGGTCCAGCAACATCCATGGTCCGGCATGATTTTAATTAACTGGATGTCCACTTATCATGGGTGTGGCCAAGTTTCCTGCAATCCCATAAAAATTGTTTATAGCCATCTGTCTTGGCTCTCAGCATTCTGTGTCATTATTTAGCTCTAATTTATCCCTAAATGTTTTCTAAGACCCCAGTAAACAATGGAAGTGTTAGTAATGCTGCTAGGCAATATTGACTTTCTGTGGTTCGGCAAATTCTCTGGTTCAGTTCTAGTCTGAGCCTGAGGATACATTCAACCTGTATTGGTAAATATTAAGACATTAAATATTCTTTATACTTTACTTGTTAAGTTGTTCTGAACTGCAATCACTTCACATTTTTTAATTGGTTGCAAACCTAGAAATCTAGATAGAGTTCACAGGCTTTTGAGGTGGCAGGAAAACCACTTACTGAAAGAAAGATTGCAAGTAATTCAAGGTGTCAGATTATTTAAAAAAAACGTTAACAAATAAAATATAAAAGCAACAAAACCAATTTACCTTTATATGTTTTACTCCACAGCTAACCATTCTGTTTGGTTGATATGGATCCCAGGAAATATCAAAAATCTGTTAAAAATATATGAAGCTGCTCCTTTGAATTATAAACCACTTGAAGCTGACACATTTAATTTGCATTTGCACACTTTTAAATACAGTTCCATCATTCAGTATTTGATTAAATTAACAGCACAGTCTTTAGGTTAATATAATGCTGTTTTATGTGAATGACAAGTATAAGTATAGCGAGGCAGAGGGTTCATGCAGACATGTGCTTGCAGGCTTCTGCACACAGTTTTACCAGCAGACTGTATTCATAACTTACAACAACCAAGATATTCTAGTCCCAAGACACTCTTGAACTGAGGAAAATAAAGTACAAGTTGTGTGATGTGAGCTAATATCCCCAAAAAGTTAAGATGAGAGGCTATTACTCATCTTTACTCATTACCTATTGAAAAAGGCATATTAGGCGATATTAACCCAATATGCCACCTTTTTAACACAGCAATATACATTTTTATCTATAATACAACAAAAATATATTTCAGAATTAAGGACTAGATCCCACATGTTTTAACTCAGAACAAACTGTTGTTGAGGTCAATGAGAACATAGTCTAAGTAATCACTGCACAATCAGATCCCTGAGAAAATACTGCATGATAGAAAATAATAGTTTGTACTTTCAAGAATGCCTCAGTTTTTGGATGTGCATCTTCAGACACATTACAGGGGCCTGATTTTCAGAAAACACTGAGCAGCCAACCTCCGAAATTCAGGCCCTTTTATGGTATCTCAATTTGAGTACCCAAAAAATGAGGCACCCAAACCATTAGTTTATTTTAAAAAATGTAGACCAGTGATATTCAAACCTCAGAGGTACCGGAACCAAATTAACAATCAACATTTCACACACACCCCTTGTCTAATTTCTGTGTTTTGATTCAAAACACATTAGCTACACCAGCCTGCTAATAAATAATTATCTTAAATATGCACCCAGTCATGTAGTATATTAAACAACACCTAAAGTATAAACTGTAAATCTTTATAAAAAGTTGTGATTTTGAAGTATTTTCTAAATATTATGCTTTTTAAAATATGTAAATGAAAGACTGCAGCAATGTCTTATGACCCCCACACTGGAACAAAATATTCAACAACCAGAATCTAGGACCAAATTAGAGGACCCGAAGGGCTAAACCTTTTAGCGCTTTATTCATGGCTAAAAGAAACAGAGCCTGAAACAGCACCCTTTGAAGTCAATAGCAAAACTTACACAGACATCAGTAGGAGATAGAAATGTAGCCGTGTTAGTCTGGTGTAGCTGAAACAAAAAACAGGACTATGTAGCACTTTAAAGACTAACAAGATGGTTTATTAGGTGATGAGCTTTCGTGGGCCAGACCCACTTCCTCAGATCAAATAGTGGAAGAAAATTGTCACAACCATATATACCAAAGGATTATATGGTTGTGACAATTTTCTTCCACTATTTGATCTGAGGAAGTAGGTCTGGCCCACGAAAGCTCATCACCTAATAAACCATCTTGTTAGTCTTTAAAGTGCTGCATAGTCCTGTTTTTTGTATCAGTAGGAGATGCATTGTACCATAAACGAATAATTTTGAAAAATGAATAAAAAATTAATCTTGATGTTAAAAATATGGTACACCAGAGTGAAGCACTGAATTCACCCAACTCACATAGTACAGACACCTACGCCCATCTTGTAATGTATTGTTTTGCTCTGCTGCCACTACTTCTGTATATTCTATCGTGAAATATTCACAGATTTACCATGCATAGTAAAAATATATGTACAGTGAAAAGATGAATTTATCTTAATCAACACACATATATGCATTTATTTGTGTGCATAGAGGGGGGACTAAGTGGTGGCGATAATGCTTTCAGAGTCCCTAATTTTGCACAATATTCTCCACTCAGGTCCACTTGATTAACTTTGCTGTGGACTAACCTAATGAAAAAACAATATAAAATGGAAACAAAAATGTTACAGAAGTGCCCCAGATAAAATTCAGATAATCGCTTAATATGCTTACCCTATCTGAATGGCCAGTAGCTGTTGCTAGTAGTTTTCCTTTCTTCCAATCCCAAACACATACTGTATTTTTGGCATCCAGTCCTACTGAGGCTAAACGCTAGGGGGAAAAAAATCTAGTTAATGGAAGATCAGCCCCCACAAATCTTTCAATTCAACATATAATGCGTACAGAAAGATTTCTCCAAATATGACTCAAAATAAAACTACATTGCTAAAGTTTCCATCAAGATATCCATGTTAAATATTTGTTTACTATTAGGACATGCTGAAAATGCTAGTCTTTTCCACAAGATTGACATTAGTTACTCGCCTTTTTAATGTATCATACATGGCTTAAATTCATGAGAAGATCTGAAGCACTTGCTTCAGTAAGGGTATGTGTACACTACAGAGTTTTTTCAGAAAAACAGCCATTTTTTCAAAAAAACTTCAATTATATCCACACTGCAATAGCGTTCTGTTGAAAGAAAATTGAAAGAACAGAGGGGTTTTTCTGACATTGGTAAACCTCTTTCTATGAGGAAGAAGCCTTTTTCCTAAAGAGCTCTTTTGGAAAAAGGCATGTGTGGACGGGGAAGAGGGAGTTCTTTCCAAAGAAGAGGAAAGAGGAAAAAGCACAGGTGCCCTGGTGGCCATTCCACCTATACTAATCACAGCTTCCATGCAAGATAGCGTCCATTCTGTCTGGACGCTCTCTTCCGAAAAAGCAGATCACTTTTTCGATGTGCTTTGGCAGTGTGGATGCTCTCTTTCAGAAGTTTTTTTGGAAGATCTCTTCTGGAAAACCTTCTTCCGTAAGGAGCCTAAAGTCTAGACATAGCCTCACAGAACAATCTGGTATTCACATTTTGTTGACCTGTTATTAAAAGTAAATGGGTGATAAAAAAAACCCCCTCCTGTTCCACCACCTACACCACTACATTTCATTATGTCTATGTTGCTCATTTTTAAAGACTTTTCTGGAAGTTATTTATAACTTTAAAAATGATTTCTATAGTTTACCCTTTAATTTTAAATTTTGTTTTTCAAAAGAATGCATAACTATTTTAAAGGCCTAATAAAAGTAAATTAACTTCTCTTTTCTAAGAAACAAAACAAAGTAAACATCCCTTTTTTCTAGGCTACGACTATAAACAAACAGGATGAGGAAAAGATGTTTAAGATGTAAACTAGCATTCTAAGTCTTTTCAAATTTTGCCTAATTTCACAGGTCCTTCTGAAGATACAAGAATATAGAAATTGCTCTGTTGTATAACACCAGTGGTTCATCTGCTTAAGTAACCTGTCTCTATTAGTAACAAGTACCTTGTATACAAAATACTATTTTCTTAAGATTTTCCACTGTTGATATCACCAGTACTGCCACACTAAGCAGAAAGAAGGGAAAAAAGGCACCAACTCCCACGGATTTGCAGGAATACAAGGTCAGGTGCCTCTACGCTTGGCTATCCTCTCCGTCCCTAGATAATCAAAGAACACCGACCCAGGAATTATCCTCCATGTCCCCATCAAAGGGCATATTGTGTCATGGAGGGGAATGAGGCAAAGTTAATAAAACCTCATATTGCTATAACTTAATACTAAATGTCTTATAGGCCTTGTGCGAGGTGACCATGTGAATCTCACTCAGACCCATCTAGTCCTGTTTTCTTCCCAGCTATAAATCCCAGAAAATGAAAGAAATTAATGGATTTAAAAAACGTAAACAAAATACATCCACATTCTTTATAGTTATTATTTATTTATTTAACAACAACTGACATGTATTTCTACCTTTGGCTTTTTGGGATGTGACACATCATTTTTATCTCTGGTACAGGAAATAATGCATGCCCAAAGCAACAGACTGGTACAAATCATTAGCTGTGTTCTGGTAAATAACAAGGATTATTTTCCTATGCTGGCTGCAAAATGCATTTATATTTTCCCTGGTTTATGCAAAGAAATGAACCTGCAAAAAAGTAAATCTAACTTTATTGTCATTTTTCGTGTGTGTGTGTGTGTGTGTGTGTGTGTGTGTGTGTGTGTTGAAAGAGTATCAATATGAAATGATGCTGAATCACTACACAGTTCAATAGGTGGATTCAATTAAATCCTGGGGGCCATGGATCAGCAGTCAGGTCACATTTCCAGTCAGTACCTGGCTGAAGCCAGGGAAGCAAATGATGCAAACAGCAGACCAAATTGGCGTATTGTACATAGGCTAAGAAGAATGAAATCACAAGCAAGATAAATGGAATTGAAGTTTCTCTTCACTGAAGAGGGTATAAAACTCTGTGATAAAGCAGGTCTACAGGAAAAGCCTAGGAACATGCAATTTGGGGAGAAACAGTATTTTAATTTAAGAAATTTATGTTAGTGTTATCTTACTAGAAATTTATATTAGTATCTTCTGTTATTAGCAGAAAGGGGTGTAAATTTGGACTGTGCATACTATATATGCTTTATTAACAGCAGAGTCAAAACTCCAGCTGCTGATATAAAATTGTGGCACAAAAATTGAACTCGGTTTTAACATCTTTATTCTCTTAGGGTACGTCTAGACTACATGCCTCTGGTGACAGAGGCATGTAGATTAGGCTACCCAGAATAGGAAAATGAAGCGGCGATTTAAATAATCGCCGCTTCATTTAAATTTAAATGGCTGCCATGCTGAGCCGATCAGCTGTTTGTCAGCTCAGCACGGTAGTCTGGATGCTCCGCAGTCGACATCAAAGACATTTGTCGACCTTCCAGGTATACCTCCTGGGATGAGGTTTACCTGGGAGGTCAACAATGCCTTTGATGTCGACCGCGGAACATCCAGACTACCGCGCTGAGCCGACAAACAGCTGATCGGCTCAGCACGGCAGCCATTTAAATTTAAATGAAGCAGCAATTATTTAAATCGCCGCTTCATTTTCCTATGCCGGGTAGCCTAATCTACATGCCTCTGTCGCCAGAGGCATGTAGTCTAGACGTACCCTTAGGGTATGTCTACACAGCAAAGTTATTTTGAAATAACCGCCGATATTTACAAATAACTTTCCTAGCGTCTACACAGCCAAACCGCTATTTAAAAATTAATTCGAAATAGCGGAGCGCTTATTTTGAATTTGGTAAACCTCATTCCACAAGGAATAATGCCAAATTCGAAATAACTAACTCGAAATAAGTGCTGTGTAGATGCTTATTTCGAAATAGGGGGCCTCCAGCCCTTCCCAGGGTACCCTGGTGGCCACTCTGGGCCAAACCAGGAAAACTCTTCTGCTCTTCCCCAGCCCCAGAGCCCTTAAAGGGGTAGATTCTGGCCACAGTGCCTGAGCCAGCTCCAAGCCTACCAGCACAGAGCCAGCAGTCCGTACACCTGGCCCAGCATGAGCCAGCAACCCACTGGCACCCAGCCCTCCACCGCACCTCAGGAGCAGGCTGGCAGCTCCCAGGAGCCTGCCGGGGACCGCAAAAGGCGGGTGCTTTCCTGGTCTAGTGCGGAGATCGTGGACTTCATTGAGGTTTGGGGGGAGGCCTCCAATGTCCACGATCTCCGCACTAGACACAGGAAAGCGGCCGTCTGAACAAAAGTCGTACAGAAGATTGTGGCAGATCTGAAGTGAGCAAGATATTACTCTGTTATTCTGGACATCACATGTGACATCAGTCATACAGAACAAATTACTTTAATGGTGCATTTTGTAACAACAACAGAATCTAGTGAAAATATCCCTGCAATGATGACTGTCAGAGAGCATTTTCTAGAATTAATTGACATTGATGATACTACAGGAGCTGGTATGACAAATGTGCTTCTTAAAAAGCTGGAAGATACGGGAATTGAGGTCAGGGCTATGATAGTGGTGCCAACATGAGAGGAAAGAACAGAGGAGTGCAGACACAGATCCAAGAGTTAAACCCTCGAGCTTTTTTTGTCCCATGCAGTTCTCATTCATTGAACTTGGTGGTCAGCGATGCAGCATCAGCTTCTAGTGAGGCTGCTGAATTTTTTAATGTAATTCAGAGCATCTATGTATTTTTCTCTGCATCAACTCATTGATGGCAAATTTTGAAGCAATATCTAGGAACATCCTCTCTGACACTGAAACCACTGAGTGCCACACGATGGGAAAGTCAAGTGGAAGCGATAAAGCCTATCAAACACCAAATTGGGAAGAAAGATGATGCCATAGTTGTGACTATGGAGGATAATGCTATGACAGGAAATGTTTGTGGGAGAACAGTGGCAGAGGGAAATGGAATCACCAGAAAACATACATAACTTCAAATTTCTGTTGTGGCATGACATGCTATTTGAAATAAATGTTGTAAGCAAGAGACTCCAAGATGTTGACCTTGATATATCCAGAGCAATGGAACAACTGGAAAAGCAAAGTCATACCCACTGTCTTACTGGTCAGATGAGGGATTTCAAAACGTTCTGAAGAGTGCACAGAAGTTGGCAGAAGAACTTCACACTGAAGCTATTTTCCCACCCATTTAAGAATACAAGAGTCCCTGAAGAAGAAGATGTTTTGATTACGAGGCACAGGATAATCCCATAAGAGACCCAAAACAACAATTCAAAGTTGAATTCTTTAACCAGGTGCTAGATTGTGCAATACAGTCAGTTGAAGAACGTTTCATGCAGCTCAAGGAACACAGCAGTATATTTGGGATGTTGTATGATACAGGCAGTCCCCGAGTTACATGGATCCGACTTACATCGGATCCCTACTTACAATTGGGGTGAGGCAACCCCGCACTAGCTGCTTCCCCCCAGCAGACCAGGGAGACGCGAAGCTAGCGCCCCCCGCCCAGCAGACCAGGGAGATGCAGAGCGGCTTTTCTCAGCAGACACCTCAGCTTGAGAATAAAGGACTGAGAGAAGTGAAGTGTGGGAGAATAAAACTAAGCTCTGGAGAAATGTTTGGCTAGAGTTTCCCCTACAATATGTATCAGTTCCGACTTACATACAAATTCAACTTAAGAACAAACCTACAGTCCCTATCTTGTACGTAACCCAGGGACTGCCTGTATTCCAAAACTCCTCACTATACCTGAAGACGACCTACACGAGCAATGCAGGGCACTAGAGACAGTGTTGATACATGATGGCATGTGCGATATTGATGTGAGTGATTTAGGTGATGAATTGAAAGCCCTTTCAAGATAGGAATATATGTGCAAAAATAAGATGACCACCCTCTTTCCAAATGCTTTTGATGCTCTGCGCATACTTCTACAACTTCCTGTAACAGTTGCCAGTGAAGAACGCAGCTTCTCCAAGCTGAAGTTAATAAAAACACATCTACGCTCTACAATGACACAGGAGGGGCTGGTCGGCCTTGCAACTATCTCAATAGATCATGAGCTGGGCCAGATTATGGACCTTCAGGAAGCAGTTCAAATCTTTGCAACCAAGAAGGCAAGGAAAGCACCACTTTGATTATTCAAACAAATAAAAATGCCAGTGTTTACTATACAGACAAGAAAAGTTACATTTGCTGTTCAGGCATTTGAAAGTTAAGTGTTACTTAACATTTTTTAACAGGGCATTTTAAGTTGTTAGTTCTCCTTTATTGGGGTAGGTAGCAGAGCAGTATCATGAGAGGTGTAGAACAGGAAGAAGACAGAATTGAGACCTTTCAAAGTTTTGGCCCAAGCAAGCGGACATGGGGGCGTGATATGAGCTCTCCGCCTCAGGTGCCAAAATGGTGTGGGCCGGCCCTGGTAATCAGATCCCTGAGACCCTACCCGCTTCCCTGCCTCTTCCCCCAAACTCCTGCTCTTACCCTTTCCTTTCCCCCATGACTCCCTACTCTGCCCCTTACTCATAGCTCCATACTTGTCCCTTCCTCCCAGACCCTGCTCCTGCTCCATCTATTTCCCCCAAAGCCCTGCTCCAAACACTTGCTCAATTGTCTCCACCTCCCTTCCTTCTCCTCCCCAAACTGGGCTCCCTCTACTGCAGGTGTGGGATGGGAGCAGCTGTAGCCTGACAGGAGCCTGCCTGGAGGTAGGAGACAACGTTGATTGAGCAAAGGCTGAAGCAGGTTAATGACCCCACCTTCCCCCAGTAAATGGACTTTTGGTGTCTAATCACTATATCTGACCATACACTGCCAGGTCCCCATTTCTACTGCATCTGGCAACTCTAAATGGCACCCATATAGAGAAGCCAAAAACTAGACTGTCAAAGTAAAACCCAGATGGGTGGTAACTCTATGCATGTTTGAACTATGTTAAATATGTAAAAATGTGAGCACTGAATCTGCAGGCTATTACATAAGAAGTCGATCCCAGCACTTTTGAGAAGGCTACTGACTTTAGCTTGCAATATGGGAGTAATAGTTCCTGATACAAGTAAATTGTTCCTTCATTGATTTTACAGTTGCTATGAAACAATTCTGAAGATGAAAAATGCAAAACATTTAGCTATCAATAAAACCCACCTTCTTCTATATGCAAATTGACAGCTCTTTTCATTAAACTTTTGTAAATCACCCAGGCCAAAAAAATAATCTGATAACAAAAGTAACATTTTCCCAGACAGGAAAAAATGCATTTTTAAGTGACAGCAACTCAGTCTGCCATGGTGGTTATTCATTATTTATTTAATCAGGTGTGAATTATAAAAAATTCTAATGGCAAGTTTAAATATAGGCTGGGAAGGATTCAATTTTCATCTGTAAAGGTCAGTAAATGTTGATTTTACTTTTTACCCTCCCCCCACCTCACTCCCAAAAAAACTAATGAAAAAATATATTCACCTATAATAAATAAAATTTTCAGATAGGCAAAATAACTGTGCAAATGCAACTGTGAAATTAAATACAAGTACTTTTATAAAATATTTAAAAAAAACCAATATTACCTGTGAAATTATGACAAAAAACAAATTCCCCCAAGCCTTACCAAATATATTTATTTCTGAAACTCTCTTAGTATTATTTATAAGTATGCATATATAAAATTTTTCCTGATGTCACCTGATTTGTGGCAATCAAGCTCGGGGAAGGAGAGGGAGTAGTAGGGAGGGAGCACGAACCAGCCAATTCATGGTGCTCGGAAGTGCTGGAAGGGATGGGGAGGACCAGGGACAGGATGTATTTGTCAGAGAGGTGGGGAAGAGGCTGGTCAGAGATCTGATACTGTAAATCAAGTGTAAATGTTTCTTTTTCATTATTTGAAGTTGACAGTTCTATTCATATATGAATGATTAAAGCATTTCTACTTGTTTTGAAATATTCAGTATTCCATGTATTAATGTATTTAATCTTATTTCTGAGGTCATGATTAATGAACATAACTGATTAATCTTTTGGCCCACTGATGCAAAGGAGGGCCATTTATGCCTCCCGCTCACTAGCCTTGATTGCCCATCACTGCCGTGGAAGCTCTCTGAACAGAAGGCTCATTGTCTGGTTCTGAGGATCAAAGGAATGCCTCACTGTGCAGTTCCTCCGGTATTACCTGCTCTGGGGACTGGACTGCATTTTCAGGTCTATGTCTACCACTGGGATCTGTCAAGTTGTGCTAGGTTCAAGCGCTAAGCTGAGGTCTTGGTCCCAATAGGTACTTTTTAAGAGAGATATTTGCAGTATTTTGGATTCTATACTACCTAAGTTTGAACTACAGTACACAGTTCTGATGTAATGCTATAATTCTATATGCATGTTACATATATAAGAATATATTTTTATGTGTAAACTTCAATAGAAGAAAAAGAGAAACTGAAAATATACAAACCTGGCCATCTGAATCAAAAGCCAAGCAGGCAACTCCATGTGTGTGTGCATCCTTAAGAACAGAAACAGTCAGTACACTGTAGGAATCCCAGATGCAAACGTAAGGGTCCTTCCCAACCTGTCCTGTAGCAACTAAGGTTTTATCCGGGTGTACAGCCAGGCTAGAAGAGAACATCATTGAAGCCACACATTATTCTCTAGATCAGCACAACACTGTAGAGTAGTCAAAGATTAAAACACATATTGATGTTTTTCAGTTTTCAACATATCAGAACATTCATAGCAACAAAAAAAATTATTATTGCAGAGTTAAGATTGTGTGGCCGAATAACATAAAATTCAAACCAACAAAAACCATACTTAGTACAAACCAGAAATGAAGAGCCAATTTTCATATCAAACTTTGGAAAACCAGGAAATACAGAACTGAAAAAAAGATGTCAGATACACACCCCACTATCAACTATTACGTGTCACCTCTGAATGGACTGGAAAATTGACCAAAAAATGGTATGGGTACAAAGATATTTGCAGACTCTAGGCATTAAAATGCCTAGCTATGGCTCCAAGAGTAACCCAACTGAAATGAGTCCCTATTGCTGCTTGCTCAAAGAAACTCTGATTTTTTCCTAAATTCACAGGTTGCTCCCTTTAAAGGGAAAATACTCCATGTTTAGAACATATTGAATGCAATATCCTTTTCCCGTAGCCATTCTCTACTCAGGAATGCAGTCTATGGATAGCAGTTGTGTAGTTGTAAATACATTTTAAAGATGTTGCCACTGAATTAATTGCACATAAATCAGATTGAAAGTAAAGGGGAGTCTGCCAGTTAAAGGATATGTCTACACTTTGAGCTGGGGATGCAATTCCCAGTTCCAGGCAGAGATGAAAGTAAAGGGATGCACCCAGATGCGCCACTCCAGCAAAAGACAGCGGCGCTCCAGCAAGAGCCAGCCTTTAAAGAGCTGGCTCGGGTGTGGCTTGCAACGTGCTCCTGCAAGCTGGTGTTGGCTGGGACGCACACAGCCAGGTGAGGCAGCACTGCAGGCAGGTTAGAGGGGGCTGGCTGGAGGTGTACTGTAGGGGAGCCATGAGCTGGGAAGTATATGTTCTGTTCATGACATGCGCTGTTGCCAGCAGCCCTGGGGAGGAAGCCAGGGGTCTCTCACTGCTGCCAGTTTCCCTGCAGCAGTGCTCCCACACAGATGGCCTATAGCTCCATTGTGGCCAGGTATGTTTACCCAGCCCCAGAACCCCCCTTCCCCACCTCATCCTTCCCAGCCCTGATTCCTGCATCTACCCTCCACAAATACATACCCTATCCTGAGCCCCCCGCACCCAACCCCTCCACATCCAACCACCTGCCCTGAGCCTCTAGTACCTCCATCCCCTGCCCTGAGTCCCTCCACACCCAACTCCTTGACCTGAGTCCCTCACCCCCTCCCTGAGCTTCCTGCACTCCCATCCCCTTTTTTGTACCCTACATACATTGCCTGTCCTCATGCCTGTGTCCCACACGCATACCTAGCCCCTTGCCCTGACTCTGGTTCACCCCACCTCTCCCAGCCTCCTGCCCTAAGCCTCCCCACACCTGCACACATTCCAATGGGAATGAAACTGCATTAATAAAAGAAAAATCAGAGTTATTACTTTAATTACATATATTTTACATTCACAGTATTTTACATTTCAAATCTCCAGTTTTGGATTTTTACTTCTTGTCAAGTGGAACACGTTCACATCTGGTCTGATGTGATGGAGCAGTATTGAGGGGGCAGGTTGTGATAGGACAGAGTGTAACTGTGGAGGTACTAGGAGGAGGAGGAGCTAGTCATTTGGAGTATGTGTCTAGTGTAGCTGTCAACCTTTTTTCATGTGAACACCCCTAAAAATTTTCAAATGAAGATGTAAGCCCCTTTGGAAATTGTAGACATAGTATGAAGTTTTCTGAACATCTATGTCTATCTTCACTACGTCCTGCTGACAAAGTATTTCCCTTCCTGGTCATCTCTTTTCCTAATCCTAAAGCGTGTGTGTGTGTGTGTCTGTGATACATTACAAACACACACATATGCAGGCACACAGTGCTTCTCTGTCATTACCACACAGGTTAAATTAAAATGTTCATGATTTAAGTATTAAGCTTTCTTTCTAGTGATCCAAAAGATTCCAAGTAAACACTTCTCTCATGAGTCTCAAAAACACTGGCAAGTCCCCCGGATCAGGTGGATTCATTAATTACTTTTATAAAAGTATTTAATCAGGCTCTATTGGAACACATGATCTACACATTTAATTGTTCTACTCCAACAGGGATCCTGCTGTGGATGCTAAAATAATGAGCATTGTTATTTAAAAAGAAAAAAGACTTATTCCCAAAAGTCTGTGCTTCATTATAGACTATTTTCATTAATAAATTCTTAGTCAAAGTCTTTCCCGTTCATAATAGAATCATAGAACACTAGAACTGGAAGGGACCTTGAGAGGTCATCGAGTCCAGTCCCCTACCTTCAATGACAGGACCCAGTACCGTGTAGACCATCCCTGACAGATGTCTATCTAACCTGCTCTTAAATATCGCCAGAGATAGAGATTCTACAACCTCCCTAGGCAACTTATTCCAGTATTTAACCACCCTGACAATTAGGAAGTTTTTCTTAGTATCCAACCTAAACCTCCCTTGCTGCAGTTTAAGCCCATTGTTTCTTGTCCTATTGTCAGAGGCTAAGGAGAACAATTTTTCTCCCTCCTCCTTCTGACACCCTTTCAGATACCTGAAAACTGCTATCATGTCCCCTCTCAGTCTTCTCCTTTCCAAACTAAACAAGCCCAATTCTTTCAGTCTTCCTTCATAGGTCATGTTATCTAGTCCTTTAATCATTCTTGTTGCTCTTCTCTGGATCTTCTCCAATTTTTCCACATCTTTCTTGAAATGTGGTGCCCAGAACAGGACATAATACTCCAATTGAGGCCTAATGAGCGCAGAGTAGAACGGAAGAATGACTACTCGTGTTTTGCTCACAACACACTTGTTAATACATCCCAGAGTCATGTTTGCTTTTTTTGCAACAGCATCACACTATTGACTCATATTTAGTTTGTGGTCCATTATGACTCCTAGATTCCTTTCTGCAGTACTCCCCCCTAAACAGTCACTTCCTATTCTGTATGTGTGAGACTGACTGTTCCTTCCTAAGTGGAGTGCTTTGCATTTGTCCTTATTAAACTTCATCCTATTTACCTCAGACCATTTCTCCAGTTTGTCCAGATCATTTTCAATTATAACCCTATCCTCCAAAGCACTTGCAACTCCTCCCAGCTTCGTATCATCTGTGCTTATATGAATAGACTGGTGTTTCATTAAAATCAAGGTTTTAGATACAGAACTAGTGAGCAACTCAGATTTTAGAAACATTAATTAAAAACAACAGTATCAAAATAATTTAATATTTTATATATTCAGGAGAAAGTTAATATATTTGCCTGATGAGCTCCACAAACAGGAGAAAATAATAACCCTTAGGCAAAATTGTGATGCATTCAAGTCCTCTCTTAATTATATTTCTCTACCTAGACACTGTAATTTTTTACATTAAAAAAATTGCCACATGCCTAAATTTAATTTTATTTAAAAAGACATTCAAAGCAAACAGAAAAAGAAAATTATCTTGTGCATTTAGGAGATTTCTTCTACTTAAAGTTAGATATTGGTCAGTAAGGGCATATCTATACTAGGAAACTATTTCAAAATAACTAAATTTGACTTAAGTCCAAATTTTACAAAATCAAAATAGTGTGTCCCCACTACGGGGAAGCCTCAAAATTAGTCTGAGGAAGGCTCTTTTACTATGGATGTGCTACCTCAATTTAGAGCCCCCCAAAAAGCACAGGGGAGTAATTAGGTCAAATTACTCTGGGAAGTAGTTATTTTGAAATAGTGGCACCAAAGCGTCTGCTCTAATGCTATTTTGAAATAACTATTTCAAAATTAGCATTATTCCCTGAGGAAAGCAGGAGTACAGATTTCTAAATAAGAGGCCTATTATTTCAAAATAACAGACTTGGTAGAGTGGATGCTCGGCTTATAAATTCAACCTAAGGGGGGTTATTTCAAAATAATGCCCTCATGTAGACCAGGGCTAATAGTCCCTTTTATCTCACACTCAGCCCAACAAAAAACACACTTTTTATTAAAAGGAAGATACTTCCACACCTGCTCTCCTTCAATACACATTAATTTCAATTCCTTGATAAATTAGTGTGTGACCAAATGAAGGAATGCGTATAAACTTTTAATTCCATTAATCTATTCCAGATGTCCAGGCTAGGACTTCTGAAAGCTAACAAAGATATCTCTTATTACAGAAGTGTGTTATAATAAATAACACTGGGTTATTGTAGGGCCGCTGATCCAATTAAGTTCTGTGATTGCATGTTTATTCTGTGATGTATGTAATAATGACCCATTGAAAGACAGTAGGAACTGCCTGTAATCACAGCTGCTAGTAAGAATTGGACTAGAAATTTCTTTAGTTTATCAACCATGTAAACTGAAACAAAAGAGAGGACTATGCAGCACTTTAAAGACTAACAAAATGGTTTATTAGGTGATGAGCTTTCGAAGGCCAGACCCACTTCCTCAGATCAATTTGTGGAAGAAAATTGGCACGACTGAGATATTGTAAAAGAAATTCCATAAGCAACGAGGTAAATTGAGAGATCCACAACTGATAAAGATGGGATTAACTGTTGGAAAATAACTGTTCTCTCCCTACAAAGGAATTTCTTTGTCTCACACTCTATAAAAAGGAAAGAATCTTTGGAATTATGTTGGGAGGTAACAAGCTGCCATAATTTCACCAAATACAGAGGAGGGAAACAAGCTGCCGTCTCTTCACCATTGAAAGAGGGTGGTACAGTATACCTTTTTCTGTATTAATCTCTCATCACATCTTGGATGAACTAATTCTTATTGGGTCAATTACTTGACATCTTGTATAGTTATTGTTAAATTCACTCACTCGCTGATCACCTGAGCACTATAGTGAATGGGTGGAGACTTACTCCAAGGCTATGCCTGTCAACCTTATCTAAATTGTACCAGTCAGAATTAGGGTTGAAAAGTGTCCAGTTTTTGACTGGAATGCTTGGTCAAAAA